TATATAATGAGTGAAGCAATGAATGAGTGATTCGTTTCAAAGCGACTAACTTTTCAATCACTGCACCACTCGATCACTGCTAACACCTCTACTCTTACAACACCTCAAACGCTAACCCATTATCTCTTAAACTAACGATTGTTAAATTGATTTGATTTATAAATTGTATATTTTATGCCATTTTTGTGCTTTTATTTCAATGAGAATAGCATTAAAACTACTATTAATACGACTATAGGTTTAATAGTTGTATAGAAAAGTTGACAAAACAATAGCCATTATAGCGTCAAAAGTCATTAAAATTGAATGACTTATCTGTTATGCAATAGAAGTTTAATGAATGGCAAATAATGACCACGTGTTCACTTCATTGGTCTCTAATCACAATCAGCAGATCCAAAGAGTGTCAATTATAGTATATATTTAATTGAAATAACTGACCATGCTCATCATTTATAGTTTAATTAAATTGATATAAAATCTAATAAATTTGTTACGATATTTATGAATGATTTTATTGGTAGAGGTGTTAACAGTAAACGTATTGTTTTTGATTGAATCAAATTGTTATCAATAAATGGTTTAAAGTTTTGTCTTAAATGATGGCATCGACTGAAGAGTCCGGCGATTCAAATAAGTGTCACTTCTTCGTGAAGAAGAGCCGATCCAACCGTCAGATGCGACAGAATGTGAGACACGACTCGTCTTCGGGCGAAGAGGAGGACACGGAGTCTGCGGTTGTGGTGAATACGAGCCGTCGGGCGGACAGAAACCCATTGATTCAGTCGACCGTTTCGTTCAATAAACTCAAGAAACGGAAAGTGGTTTCGGAGACCAACGACGACAAGGACTCCAACGACGACTCCTTAACCGTCACCTATCGGTCCAACAGAAGCGCCCAAAGAGATGGCCCGCAAGACATGGGCGCCACTGCGGGCGTCCAGACAGAGACCGAGAAGTCGATGGACGCGCAGAGCATCTTCGAGCGGGCGATGGAAGTGAACAAAACACTGAAAGGCAAAGAAGACGATCGCATCTACAGAGGACTCAATAATTCGGTTCAATACAAGACGAAGAAAGACACGCCTCAGGGGAACGCCTCGTCCGGACACAACCGCAACGGACCCGTCAGAGCGCCAGAGAATATCCGCTCAACGGTTCGGTGGG